GGTCCCCCTCACCGCCGTCGGCTACGGGGACAAGACGCCGCAGACGTGGCTGGGGCGGATGCTGGCGGCCGGTTTCGCCCTGCTCGGCATCTCCTTCTTCGCGCTGCCCGCCGTGAGTAGGGCCGGGAGGGCCCCTGCGCCCCCTGCCCCATAGAAATCGGGGAGAAAGGGGCCAAATCCACCCCGGCTGGAGGTGGTGGCACCCATGGACCTTGTCCCCTCCTGTCCCCAGGGGATCCTGGGCTCCGGCTTTGCCCTCAAGGTGCAGGAGCAGCATCGGCAGAAGCACTTTGAGAAGAGGAGGACTCCAGCAGCAAACCTGATCCAGGTAACATCGGGATGGCGCATCCTGCCCTGTCCCTTCCCAGGGGTGCTCTGCTGTGTCCCCCATCTGCTCTGCCTGTCCCTGCTGCTGCAGGCAGGACCCAAACGCCTGCCCCAGCGTCCAGCAGCTGCCTCCTGTGGGCCAAACCCTGCCCATGGTGGCCAAGGGGGATGGAGGGGTCACTGTGGGGGGATCCCAGGCAGATCACAGAATCCCAGAACATCAGGGATTGAAGGGACCTCAGAAGCTCATCCAGTCCAATCCCCCTGCCGGAGCAGGAACACCAGATGAGGTTACACAGGAAGGCGTCCAGGCGGGTTTTGAATGTCTGCAGAGAAGGAGACTCCACAACCTCTCTGGGCAGCCTGGGCCAGGGCTCTGTCACCCTCACTGAGAAGAAGTTTCTTCTCCAATTGAAGTGGAACCTCCTGTGTTCCAGTTTGTGTCCGTTACCCCTTGTCCTATCGTTGTTTGTCACCGAGAAGAGCCTGGCTCCATCCTCGTGACACTCACCCTTTAAATATTTCTAAACATGAATGAGGTCTCCCCTCAGTCTCCTCTTCTGCAAACTAAAGAGCCCCAGCTCCCTCAGCCGCTCCTCAGAAGGGAGATGCTCCACTCCCTTGATCATCTTTGTAGCCCTACGCTGGACTCTCTCCAGCAGTTCCTGTCCTTCTTGAACTGAGGGGCCCAGAACTGGACGCAATATTCCAGATGCGGTCTCACCAGGGCAGAGTAGAGGGGAGGAGAACCTCTCTGACCTACTGACCACCCCCCATGGGGTGCGATCCTGATGTCCCCATGCAGGCTGCCTGGCGCCTGTACTCGACGGACGTCAGCCGCCCGTACCTGACAGCCACGTGGTGTTACTACGACAGCCTCCTGCCCTCCTTCAGGTAGGCAGGGAGCGGGCGAGGGCTGCGGGGGGTCCATGGGGGGGGTCCCGGGCTGACAAGTGACCAGGTACCCCCTGCCACGAGGAGCCACATGGAGCCACTGAGGGTTCAATGAGGCTGAGCATCACGGACACCCTGGGACACGAGCACCCAGCGCCCTCCTCATCCTCACCATCCTCCCAGTCCGCAGTGCCCATCCCACCCCGTCACCTCTCGCCCCATCCGTCGCCTTCCTCCAGCGCTGCCGTGGGAAGAGGACGGTGCCGTGGGGACATCGTGGGCGCCAGGGAGCGGCGGCCGCCGGGGAGCCGGCTCCAGGCACAGCAGCAGAGCGGATGGACCTGGGGGGTCTGGTGGGGACCCCCGTACCCCATCTCCATAGCCCTTCACCCTCCCATGGGTGTTGTCACCACGAGTGGGTTGAAGGCTCTGAAGCTTTTCCAGGCACACTCTGTGTTGAGGTTTGCTGTGTGGCCCCGTGTCCGAGCACTACCCCACACCAGCAGCGTAGGGGTGCAGCCCTGCCCTGGCGCCCCGCTCCGACCGTGTCTGCTTTTGCAAGAACAAATTCGTTCCTTTGTTTTGCTCTCTATTTTTGCAAAGACAGGGCTCTTAACAGCCACAGCAGGGAGTCCCCCTGCTCCCCAAGGAGATTTGGCTTCCCGAGCATCACTGGGTGTCATGGGGGGCTCCCTGACCTCTTCTGCTGTGCCGGGAGCCATTCATTTATCCCAAGTTCGAATAAAACCAGGCTTGATCCATGCCAGGTCCGAGCTCCCCCCTGCTCTACAGTGCCCAGACCCCCACATCGGATGGTGGCAGGTCCCCCTGTCCCCACCCCAATGGCAAGGATGGTCCCCTGCCTGTCCCACCCCATGGATCCAATGCCTCTGCTGGTGACTGGCCCCCGTGGG